ACATCTGTATACCTTTAGCTCTAATGGGTTTTGGTTCATTAGACTATGTTGACCATGTAAAGTAGTACTATTAATTGGCCAACACATGTCTTCAGCCTTGTTTATTGTATATTGGACTAATTCTGATATTTTCCTGCCATTATATACATAGGATGAATATTAAATGATTCCTTGGATTTGGAGGTTACATTGTTATACAAGTATGAAGAATTTGTCGCCCAAAAAGCTGTGTCTTGTTGGATTATTAGTTCAATCCTATCGATTTTGATAGAATTAATGGTAAGCAACATTATGTTATTAATGAACGACATAGTTTTTGTGTAGTACATGCATGGTCTTTGGTCATATTTTATTTAGGAGTGAATTTTTCTCTTTCATCATTTTTTCTGATACATATACAAGTACTTATGTTGTGTAAAAATTTTGAGTTGATTCTGGTTACAATAGGATTTTTTATGAATTTTTAAGGCTCTCAAAAATATTTTACCAAAATTGATAGGAGAAAATTCTGAATTTTTATAATTTTTTCTGACTCAAGCAGTGTATACATGTACTTATAATTGTTGCATAGAAATTTTGAACTGATTTCAATCAAAATTGGATTTTATTAATGAATTCTTTAAAGTTGCCAAAATTTGGCAAAACACCATGACAGAACTGTGCTACATGATTATGTTTTTTCCTTAATAATTATCTATTTTTAGTCATTTCATAAAAACACTATCCAAATTGATTATCATAAAAGCCAACTCTTAAAGAATCACAGCACCAGCACTGGGAGGGAACCAATTAAGGAGCGCCCCACTGACCCCACTGGTCTAATTGGGAATGAGGAGAACCATAATGTAGAGTCAAAAGAAGGACCGGATCCAAAAGTGACAGAAGAGCCTTCACAGCCCCTAAATGTAGGAACAGAAAAGAAGGAGCCAATAAAAGAACCAGTAAAAGTAAGAGATATATGCATATACAATGAATCACTGATTGTATTGTAACCAGACGCTTAAAAGGAAGTACTGTAGTACATACACTTAGTCTGTCCTTTGTGAAATTATTAATTGCATTCGCATAATGTGAATTGTTAATGAATGTGTCAAGTGGTGTTCTTTTATTATTATGGCTTCATGGATCTCTCAATGCCTAAATTATAACAGGAGTCTTGAATATAATGATAACTCAATTTCTTAGGTACATTTACCTGATGAGATTCATCCTAAAAGTCAAGCAGACTTATGGATAAAGCTGTCTCCTTCAAACGTGGTATGAAGACATAATTCTAATCCTTTATAGCTACTTTATGACACATTATACATTGTAGATTAGAAGAGTGGGATATTTTGACAAAAGAAATTTGAATGACGTGAGGATCAACATCATCTTGATGCAAGACAAAAGACAAAGACCACTTCCCACAGTCTTTATAAGACTGCACTACACTGATGCCAAGGAGCCACTATGCTTGTCAACTGAATTAGACCACAGTGCCATTAAAGAAGGACACGACAACTACGTCCTTTACTTGGTTCGTAATCCTCAGCTTACTGAGATCCAGAGAGAGTCTCTCTCACACGTTACAGTATCAACTAATGGAGACTGCAAGGATGAATCAATTCCCGTTGCTATTGAGACTGTTTTTGATCCAAAAGAGTACAAGTATAAATTCGCAATGTGTCTACATAAATCGGTACGGCCGAACCTCGAGCCAAAGGTCCTGCTTGATTGGGTCAAATTGAATCTTGCACTTAGAATGGAATTCATGACAATTTTCTTGCAAGCTGGAGCAGAGAAAATCTACGAAGTTTTAGAGCCTTACCTCAAGAAAGGAGTCCTAGAAGTATTGGACTGGAAGCTAGAGCCACCACTGATTGATAGTGCCTCGTATCACGACGGACAGACTGGAGTCATAGCAGAATGTATCTGGCATAACTTTAATGATGTTAAATACCTTGGAATGAACGATGCCGACAAATTTTTTATACCACAGAAGCACTGGTTGACCATCGCTCCTTGAGATGATGAAAGAGCTAGACCAGCCAATGTCTAAACGATACGGTTCCTACTTATTCACCAACACACTGATGGTAGACAATGGGAATCTCCTAAATCAATCATTCATCAGACTTGATCCACTCTCATTACCTGTGTACTTCAAACGAGCTAAGAGTTGTACTACTTATGCCGAAATGATTGTAATTGTACCAAATGCTACATGCCCTGGCCTCAGTCACCCCAGACTATTCTTGTATCGTGCAGATAAATATACCAAAGAGCTCAGAGTCCCTGATAGCATTGGGAGGTCACAGCACTATCGACCGACTTGGGATGGGTATTTTCATAAATGCTCACCTGGACAGCTTTCAGACTCATTTAAGCAGTCGAACCGCAACCGTCAGGAAATGTGAAGGAGCCCACCCATTTATTTGCAACTCCAATCATATACATGTAGATGCTTCGATTAATGCCTAACTGACTCATGAATAATTTTGTATATTCATAATTTCTGGTTATTCTTTTTTCTTTCTATGCATGATACAGCACAAGTTATACATGGCAAACAATCATGCTTCATTGTGCATGCTAATTTTTTAGCTCATTTTTCTTTGCGTAAAAAAATTCTGCAGGCTGGCTATATTTTAATTAGGCTGTGGAATTTGATGGCACACTCCCGTTTTTACAGTGATACCTCAACCACCCGATCCAGAAACCTTTTGAAGCAAATGTAATAGAAAAAAGGAAACATTTTGGTACACCGACACCGACATAATTATGGCCGGCTGACAAGACCCAGGTGCCAACATCCTAAAGGTGGGCATCCACGCATTGTTGCTTGCAATTTGTGGTCAAACCTTTGATGTGGTTGGGCAACATGTTGCATGAAGTAGAGAGAGTCTCAAATTCATGCAACATGTTGCACAACCGCATCAAGTTGCATAGTGGATACCTACCTTTAGTGCCCTGCCTAATGCAATTATTATAATTAATAACACTAGACTAATGCAAAACATTAAGGGGGCAAGCCCTTAATGTTTCACATTAGTCTAGTGTAGTACGGTGTTATTTTATTATGGTGGTGTCAGCGTGGTACCACCGGGTCATCAGCTCAGGGTGGCACCACCGTGTTGTGGTACCACTCGAGGCCAAGAATTTATAAGAAAATCAGTAACGTAGTGACCTTAAGTTCGAGGTAGCTCCACAGTTACGAGAAGATCACAGTCACTAACGCCAACTGGAAGGAAGGAAACTGAAAAATGTCGAACTACAAACAACTAGCCGACTTTGGGCCGGAGACGGACGCCAATGAGGACACACAGAAAATAGCGGACACAGTAAACCAATAAAAATAGTCCCGCTACCATCACGTATACCGGGGGGTCCAAACAATCTATGATCCAGCTACCCCTCCAGCACCTGTTTATTTTCGCAATATTTTTTTTGTGAATCCTGCATTATTAAGCTTTCATGGAATAAACTTTTCACGAATAGATCTAGCTTGCCTTGCAAACTGCGGCATGCACCACGTGGCAATGGTGATCATAGAGTTAATGCAGAATTTTGCAATTTAACCTTGAAACATCAAAACTAATTGCAAAAAAATTTTACAGTGAAAATAAACTGGTATGCAGTATTAAATATCTTTAGGTTAAAGTATCCCTAGAGGAAAAGACTGGTAGAAAATTTGCAGAGTTCAAGGCCATGTCATTCCGCTCTCAACCTGTATCAGGAATGAATTACATTATTAAAGTAAGAGATACTGTAGGGTCAGTGGGTCAAATTGAATAAGTCATACCAGCATGGAATTTGGATCCTCCCTTATAGGGTTAGATTTGGTTAAGGAGTTGGGGCATATTCAACTTTTGGTAGTGGAATATCCCAGTTAGTAATATTATTATGGATTATTACCTTTGTTGCATTTTGGAAAATGAATGGATGGCAAGAAATAATCATGCATAGCCAACACATATTCAACATTGGAAATGCATGCATCAAAATTGCTATTAATTTTGTTATTACAATAAAAGAAGGTCACTGATTAAATTACTAAATCCACTAATATACGGTTGTAGCTCATGCTTTGCTTTAAGATCAAATATCATTCATGACTTGATTTTTGTATCTGTCAAATTATACAGTATAGCTGCTTGTTTATTTAATTCAAGTTGCTTTAAATTTTTACAATCCTTTGAGACTGACGGTGTCTCTGAATCTTTGCAAGTCAACTTAATTTGCAAAAAGTGATCTGTGGCCTCATTGTTATAATCGTTATTATCAATGTTATTATCATTGGTATTCCATAAGATATCAATTATATTATTGTGCTTTAGATATGTGTTGGTCGTAGTACATATGATTACATATGGGTGCGTGTCTATAACAATCTTGATGGAGAGGTAAGTCTCACTTCCTACCGGTTGGACAAGAAAAAGGATGACCCAATTGAAGTTTTTGAATAATTTTTGCTGTTACATAACTGTTTTAATACATTGTGCTGATTTTCGTTGCTGATTTCATTTGCTGTTTTTGCTGATTTTTATTGCTGAGTTTTTATTTGCTGATTCCATCATTGTGCTGATTTTTGCTAAATGAACTGAGTTCAGTTATACTTTGATAAACTACACTAAAATGTTGTGGGTTACTGTACACAAGGATGAATTAGAAGCCGAGGCTTCTAATCAACTAACATTTGAGTATTGACTATATGCAGTAGGCCAACATATGTCATCACCATTTTTATTGCATTTTGGACTAATTTTGATATTTTTCCTATTATACAGGGTGAATATTAAATGATTCCTTGAATTTGGAGGTTGTAAGTATGAAGAATTTGTCCCCCAATAAGCTGTACTTGTTAGATTAAGTTCAATCTTACTGTTGTTGATAGCGTTTATGGTAAGCATCATGTGTTATTAATGAATGATGGAATTTTTGTTTTATTTAGAAGAACATTTTTCACTTTTATATAATTTTTTTCTAATACATATACCTATGTTGTGTAGAAATTTTGAGCTAATTCCAATAACAACTGGATTTTTTTACAATTTTTAAGGCTCTCAAGTCAGGCCAAAGTTCTTGTATATACAAGGTCATTGGCCAAATTTTGCCAAAATTGAAATGGAGAGAATTTTTATAATTTTTTGATGCAAATACATGTACTAATGTTGCATAGAAAGTTTAAGCTGATTCTAATCACTGTTGGATTTTTTATGAATTTTTCAATTTTCTCAAAAATTGGGACAAAGCTGCTGTACTATAGCACGGGGTCATTGACCAAATTTTACCACATTTTATAATTTTTTCTGATGCATATACACGTACTTATAAATGTTGCAGAGCTAATTCTAATCAAAATTGGATTTCATTAATGAATTTTTTAAAGCTGCCAAAATTTGGCAAAACACCATGACAGAACTGTGCTACACGATCATGTTTTTTCCTTAATAATTATCTATTTTTAGTCACTTAATAAATTTTAAAATACTACCCAAATTGATAATCATAAAAGTCGACTCTTAAAGAATCATAGCACCGGCACTGGCAGGGAACCAATCAAGGAGCACACCACTGGTCTAATTGGAGAATCATATATAATGTAAGATTCAGAAGGACTGGGTCCGAAAGTGACAGAAGAACGTTTGCAGCACCTCTAGGCAGGAACAGAGAAGGAGCCAATAAAAGAACCAGTAAAAGTAAGAATATACATGTACATGTATACACTGATTGTAGCTAGTGGGTAAAGGGGAGTCTTAAAAGAAGACTGTTGTGCACATAATGTGAATTATTACCATGGCTTCATGGATCCTTCAATGTCTAAATTATAATGAGAACTCAATTTCTTAGGTACATGTACCTTATCGGATTTATCCTAAAAGTCAAGCAGACTTATGGATGAAGATGTCTCCCGGCTTCAAACGTTGTTATGAAACACATTTTAGTCCTTTTTTTATTCTATGATTATTAGATTAGAAGAGTGGGATTCCTTGACAAAAGAAATTTGAATCATTGACGTGAGGATCAACATCATCTTAATGCATGACAAAAGAAAAAGACCACTTCCCATACTCTTTATAAGACTGTACTACACTGACACCAAGGAGCCATTTGCTTACCAGAGAAGCACCAGTCCCTCCTTAAAATGATGGAAGAGCTAGACCGACCGATGTCTAAAGATACGGCTCGTACTTATCATTTCACTAACACACTCATGGTAGACAATGGGAGACTCCTACCGATAGTAGAACAAGCTTTATCATCAAACAAATGCACCGGACTGGATCCAATGTCATTACCTGTGTATTTCAAATGTGGCAAGAGCTGTACTACTTATGCCGAAAAGATTATAATGGTGCCAAATGCTGCTTCTACTGCATGGCCTCATCACCTATTCTCATATCGTGCAGATAAATATACCAAAGAACTCAGGGTCCCTGATAGTATTGGTAGGTCACAGCACTATCGGCCGACTTGGGATGGATATTTTCATAGGTGCTCGCCTTCGCAGCTTTCGGACTCATTGAGTGCAGGGAATTATTTCTATAATGTGACTGGCTGTAATTATTTATCAGTACAAAAAAATCATATTAAGGTTAATGACGAGATTTTAGTAATCTTTTGTCATAAAAGTAATAAAACTATTAATTAAACTACAGTGGAAGGAATGTCGAAGCGCTGTCTCTTTCTCCCTCTCCTTCTTCTCTGGCTCTGCTGTAGCCGGATCACTAGTGGTGAGTTGTAAGACGTAGCTGCTTTGTTCCAGCTTTCATCCAGCACAGATTTTGGTTCCAGGGACAAATAAGCTTGATTACCTCGAAAATAATGATAATCTAGCAGTAATTAAAATAATTGTTTTTAGCCTCATAGCACTCACTCTATGCCTGAGTGCCTTTGCTGAAATAATGAACATGAAGAATGAGTAATTGTATAAAGTTTTGGTAGGCTCTGTGGTTCTCAAAAACAATAAATAAATTATATATCCAGCAGCTACTAAATCTACATGTTAATGTTTTACATTCTTTCTAGTATACTTATTTCAATAATATTGTGTTTGTGTTTATGTGTGCATGTATATAAATGTACTGAATACATAAACTTTACATTCCTTATAGTACATATGAAGTAATGCCATGTGAATTGCAATTTATAAAAGTGATGAGAGAGTAGAATAGTACATCCTTTTTAACTTGATCTTTGCACTCTTGATACACACTTGGTTTTTATACTTCCTCCTGTGAGTTTATTCATATCTTTTTAGGCCAGATTAATGGAACAGTCATTTTATCTCGATTTAATTCCACGTCAAGTTCTTTCTCATCCGGGATAGTTAGAGTCTATTATAATGGCTGGGGTAACATCTGTAATGATGCTTACTTTCATTATGTTGAGGCCGTTGTCATATGTCATCAGTTGGGATTTGATTCAGAGATTTCTTATTCTACCTCTGGGCAGAACACAATGTAAATTATTCGAAATGTTGGTATTTTATACTAATTAAATTTACTGTATGCTTTAATCTCGGCCATTATAAATTAGCCTAAATGCTTTAATGTGTACTTATTTTTCCTCATAATTTTTGAAATTGATCTATCTTACAAAATTTTATTATATGAGAGGAATATTTTGCAAATTTGTCTGTGGAAAAGTAATTGGTAAAATTTTATATTGATGATAGTTACTTTTTATTATGTTTTGCTATAACTTTTACTATGCAAAAATTGGGCGAGATTATACAGTACATCTTGATAATCAATAGCTTAATTATTATAAATATATCCCAACTTACTTACCATCTCAAATTCTGCACTATCACATTTTTCTATATCTAATTGTATTTTTCTACATTTAAGTGTGTGCATTTTTTAACTGTTGTATTTCTAACTATTATAATAATATTAATAATAATTAACGACAAAGAATAATAATAATAAATTACTAAAGTCTGTTTTTACAGATATGGTACAGATTATCTACCTACAGTATGGCAAGGCTTAGATTGTGGCAGTTATTTTCTCTCAGTGTCTCAGTGCTTCTATTCCACTGAGATTGATCACCAATGCAGCTCCAATAGTCAAGATGTAATAGTCCAATGTTGTAAGTCTCTAATCATTACCTTATAGCTGGTATTTTTTGAGGGAGTAAATTTTGATAAATTGCTAATTTTTGAAATTGCTAAATTTCAGTGTTTGGCTAAATTTAATTTGTCAAGTATGCATGGAATGGTTCAAAACGGCAGATTTATTTTGGTGAATATCTATTAAAATGCCATATTTTTCCCCTCAAGATTACAAGCTACATGTATAAAATAGTTATTTGAATAAATATAATCTATTTTTTTAGCTAGTACTAAGATATGGGATAATCCATTCCTTGGCATGATACGTCTACAGGGAGGGGATTACTCTAATGAAGGTCGTGTTGAGCTATACTGTAATGGACAATGGGGAACAATATGTAGCAATGGGTTTGATTCTACTGATGCCAACACACTCTGCAGGCAACTAGGATA